GGGGTCATACATATGTAGCCTTCTGGGCCTGGCTCTCTTCATGCCGCAGAGTCAGTGCAGGTGTTGCAAGTTCACTCTTGTTACTGCTGAATAATTAGGGTTCTGGGGTGCAGGGAGCCCACGGTTTAACACTTCACATGTTTTCATTTTGAGAAAGTCCAGTTTATCAATTTTTTCTTTTAAGGATCATACTTTTGGCGTCCATCCTAAATCCTGGGTCCCAAGTATGTTTTCCTGGGCTTTTCTTGCTAAAAGTCTTACAGTTTTAGGTTTAAGCCCTGATCCATTTTGAGTTAGCTCTTGTGTGGGGTGAGAATCCAGGCACGGTTCAGTTTTTAGTCTCTCTGGGTGTCCATCCAGGGGCTCTGGCAGCATTTATCACAAAGGATTCCTGTTCTCCGTTGGACTGCTTTCCCCCTTTTGTCAAAGGTCAGCGAGGCATATCCATTTGGGTCTGCTTCCAGGGGTGCGTCCCGTCCGTCCATCGACCCCACACAGTCTTGCCGGTTGGGGCCGTGCACTAAGTCTTGAAATCAGGTGGACCGTTCCTCCCACCGCCTCTTTGTCCCCAAATCATTTTAGGTTCTCCAGTTCCTTTGCCTTTCTGCAAAAAATCTTTCTAGATCTATAAAGTTTTGCGGCTGTTTTGATGGGAACTGTACTAAATCTATATTTGGGGGAGAGTCAACATCTTTCCTACGTTGAGTCTTGCAGTCAATCAACACAACGTGTCTGTCACACCTTTTACTTAGATCTTTCTCATCAATGTTCTGCAGTTTTCAGCAAACCAGTTTAGTATGTGTTCTGTTTGATTTACACTCGAGTATTTCATTTTTAAGCAACTGTAGACGGTGTTTTTAATTTTGGTGTCCATGTATTCATTGCTATACCTAGAAATACAACTGATTTTTGTATGTTTATCTTGCTTCCTGAAACCTTGCTGAACTCACTCACTCTGTTAGTTGTTTTGTAGGGTTTGGGGGATTTTCTGCATAGATGATGAGGTCTCGTGCAAACAGGGACAGCTTGATTCTTTCCTTTTCCATCTGTAAGTCTCTGGGTTGTTTGTGTTTTTATGTGTGCATGCGTGCATTTCGCCATCTTGCACTGGCTGTGTGGTGAGAGTGCACATCCTTGCCTTGTTCCCGGTCTTAGAAGGAAGGCGTGTTCTCACCACCATGACAGCCGTCCGGTAGGCTGTAAGACTTCTGAGGATGTGTCCCTCTGCCCTGTTTCCTGAGAGGGACCTGGCTCCTCTCTCCTCCCTCCCTTCCTGCTTTGGGCCGTGCCTCCATAGCTGACATGGGCCCGGGCCTTCCTGCCCCTCCTGTGTTTCAGGTCAAAGCCTCCTTGGACACACTGGCTCAGAAGATAGCAACCTTCACCGATGTGGGCAACAGCCTGGCGCACGCAGAGCACCTCCTGAAGGACCTCACCAGCTTTGAGGAGAAGTCGAGCGTGAGGCCTGGGACGTGGGCTGGTGTGGGCAGGGGACAGCCTGCGGGTGGTGCTCACGACACCATGGCATCACTTAGGAAGGCACGGGAAGGGGGCTCTCTCGCCACCGGGGGGGGGACGTCACGAGTGGAGGCCGCACGGCCCCAGCCACCGACCCCCCCCAGTCTCACTCCCACCCCCACGGATCCCTCCCAGAAACCGCACGCTGCTCGCGCTCACAACCTAAGCTGAGCCGGGTGCCTGGGCGGCTGTCCCCACAGGCCTCTGTGGAGCGGGCCCGCGCCCTGGCACTGGAGGGCGAGAAGCTCATTGACAGCAAGCACTACGCTGTGGACTCCATCCGCCCCAAGTGCCACGAGCTCCAGCACCTCTGTGAGAGGTCCGCGGCCGAGGTGGAGAGGCGGAGGGGGCTGCTCAGCAAGTCCCTGGAGCTGCACAGCCTCCTGGAAGCAGTAAGACCCCCGTCCCCGCCCTCCTGCTCCCGCGTGGCCCGATCTCTCCCCACGGACCGCAGGCACGGGCTGGAAGCTGGCCCACGCCCTGCGGTCTGTGGGCCTCTCTTGAGCCCAGCCAGTCACGGCTGCCGTTTTCTAGAATTCCCTTGCCACGAGGACCAAAGCCGGCTAATTCCCTGCACTTTCTCTGCGTGAACGAGTCCGTCTGGGCGGTGTGCGTGGCTTCCGGGCGCCGCACAGTCGAGCCCAGAGATTCCCAGAGCATGGCGGCGGCCGGTGGCGGGTGGGGCGGCCGGCGGGGCCCGGGCAGAGCATGCCTACCAGACACGCCAAGACACGGCCTCTGACGGTGCCCCCCTCTCCCTGCCCCAGTCCATGAGGTGGTGTGATGAGGGGATCTACCTGCTAGCCTCGCAGCCTGTGGACAAGTGCCAGTCCCAGGACGGCGCGGAGGCGGCCCTGCAGGAAATCGAGAAATTCCTGGAGACCGGTGCAGAAAATAAGATCCAGGAGCTCAATAAAATTTACCAGGACTATGAGTCCATCCTCACCAAAGACCTGATGGTAAGCGGAGCCGGGCCCTGTGCTGACGGCGGGAAGTTGCTCTGGGGTGTGTGGAAGAATCCCGGCTTGACCTCTTAGAGCATCCTGGGCAGTCATGGGGCTGAGCGTCCCTTCCAGCAGCATCTCCCTCCCAGGGCAGTCTCCCTGCCCCCAGGGTCCTGCGAGGAGCAGCTCCTGCTGGGGGCCCCCTCCTGCGAGTCCTGCTGCATACGGCCCTGGCCCAGTGCCCCACTCCCGCCCAGCCAGCTGTCCGCACCCTTCCTCCAGGGGCCTGCAGACCTGTGGCGGCCTCTCAGCCTCCAGTCCCCCATCCCACGGGGGTCCCACCTCTTCCGACCGCAGCAAGGGCAGGAGTGCGGGATTGCCATGTGGCCACCATGGGGCTGTGTCCCAAGCTCAACGGAGGGTGTGCTTCTGAAATTGGTGGTGTCTCTTGCTCACGAGTTTGTATACCCTGTCCCTTCAGGAGCACGTGCAGAAAGTCTTCCAGAAGCAAGAGGGCATGGAGGAGATGTTCCACCGGAGACAGGCAAGCCTGAAGAAGCTGGCAGCCAAGCAGACGCGGCCCGTGCAGCCCGTGGCCCCCCGGCCAGAGGCGCTCACAAAATCGCCCTGCCCCTCCCCAGGTATGTGCCGTCGCCGTCCTTCCAGGCCACGGTGGGCCCTTGTAAATAAAGTTTTATCGGCACACGGCCGGTGTGTGCCATCCACTAGCCGTCAAGGGGCTCTTCCCTGACTCCAGTCTCTGCCCCAGCCCATCTTCCTCAGTGCTGTTGCCAAAATAGTTCTCCGACCGCAGTCCAAAGCCCCCAGCGGCCCCGGTCTCTCGTGTTTTCCTCCTCGGAGGCCGAGCAGGTGGCCACACCATTTCCCAGAGCCCCTTCTGCGGCGGCGTCTGCCTGCCATCCACCTCAGGGATTTGGCGAGTGTGTTGTAAGCTGGTGAGACCCTGGAGAGCCGGCTTCCCCCTCCACAGCATGGGGCATCCGTCAGAGGAGACCTTACCCCCAGCCCAGTGGTGTCCGGGTCCCACATGTGTGTGCACGGGCTCCATGTTCCCTCCCCGGGCTCCCACCCGCCCTCCTCTGCTCCACGTTTCCTCTGCTTTTCTCCCCGTCTGGCGTGGGCAGGGGGCTTGCTCCTGTTCCTACAACCGTACCGCTCCCAGGTGTCGTAGTTCCCCTCCAGGCAGTGAGATACGAAGCCACACCTCCCTTCTTCATTTCTTTCCAAACCAGGCAGCCGGAGAGGCTCTGAGAACAGTTCTGAGGGCAGCGCGCTCCGGAGAGGGCCCTACAGGAGGGCCAAGGTGAGGCCGCCGTCCAGGCCGCCCCCGCACAGCGGCTCTCCTCGCAGTCCCGCCCCGCCTGTGCCGTGGGACCTCCGATCCCTCCCCAGCGGGGGAGTGAGGTTGGGCTCCTCGGAGTCAGGGCGTAGGGCTGCACCTTCTCGTGTCTGAACGCTCGATGCACCGCATGCTCTTCTCTCCGCAGAGCGAGATGAGTGAGAGCCGGCAGGGCCGGAGCAGCTCCACGGGGGATGAGGAGGAAAGCCTGGCCATCTTGCGGAGGTGAGTGGCTCTGGTCCAGAGACGGCAAGTGCAACCGTCTCAGATCTCAGCCTTTGGCCACGGGGAGTCTGAACGTCAGCAGGCCCGAGTTGGTGGGATCTGTCAGTGTCCACCGCAAAGCGGGCGTCAGGGAGCACACACACGGGCATGCGCCACGCTGCATGCAGGCGGGCATGTGTCTGTCCATTTGGCGCGTCCACATCCACAGCCAAGACAAAGCTGGTTTTTCCTAGAAAAGCCTTTTGTCCCTGGATCCGCAGGCAGGATTTTGATGATTTGAAATGGCTTGTGTCCCCCCTTCCTCCAGCCCCAGGTGACAAGCCTGTGTGATTCCCCAGAGACGGGTGTGTAGCTGTGCTCACCACCCCTGACGGCCCCCTGGTGCCTCCTTGTGCCGCTTCTCTTTCTTGACCCCCTCCTCTTCCCATGCCCACCCCCGCTCTGGGGGTCTTCTGTCTGCACCCCTTCCTGCCCTAACCCCTCTCTGCTCACAGGCATGTGATGAACGAGCTCTTGGACACGGAACGGGTCTACGTGGAGGAGCTGCTCTGTGTCCTGGAGGTGAGCCTGTGCCAGGGATGGCGGGGGCACCCCGGGAGCCTGTTAGCTGGCTCACCCCACATACAGAGCATGAGAGGAGGGTGGCAGCTTTACTCAGACGGCCCTAAGCTGGAAACAACTCACGTGTCCATCAGTGGGACCAGGAACAAGGAGACGTAGGTGCATCTGCACAGGAACCTACTCCAGCAGCAAAGAAGAGAGCGTGGCTGACCCAGAGCGTGGCTGACCCGGAGTGTGGCTGAGCCCAAGAGCGTGGCTGACCCGGGAATGTGGCTGACCCGAAGTGTGGCTGAGCCCAAGAGCATGGCTGACCCAGGAATGTGGCTGACCCTGAGCGTGGCTGACCCCAAGCGTGGCTGACCCCGGGAACGTGGCTGACCCTGGAGTGTGGCTGACCCCGAGAGCGTGGCTGACCCCGGGAGCGTGGCTGACCTGGAGTGTGGCTGACCTGGGAGCGTGGCTGACCCTGGAGTGTGGCTGTCCCTGAGCGTGGCTGACCCCGAGAGTGTGGCTGACCCTGGGAGCGTGGCTGACCCTGGAGTGTGGCTGTCCCTGAACGTGGCTGACCCCGGGAACGTGGCTGACCCTGGAGTGTGGCTCTCCCTAAGCATGGCTGACCCCGAGAGTGTGGCTGACCCCGGGAACGTGGCTGACCTGGAGTGTGGCTGACCCAGGAGCGTGGCTGACCCTGGAGTGTGGCTGTCCCTGAGCGTGGCTGACCCCGAGAGTATGGCTGACCCCAGGAACGTGGCTGATCCAGAGTGTGGCTGACCCCAAGCGTGGCTGACCCCGGGAACATGGCTGACCCGGAGTGTGGCTGACCCGGGAGCGTGGCTGACCCTGGAGTGTGGCTGTCCCTGAGCATGGCTGACCCCGAGAGCGTGGCTGACCCTGGGAGTGTGGCTGACCCTGGAGTGTGGCTGACCCCAAGCGTGGCTGACCCCGGGAACGTGGCTGACCCAGAGTGTGGCTGACCCAGGAGCGTGGCTGACCCTGAGCGTGGCTGACCCGGAGCGTGGCTGACCCGGAGTGTGGCTGAGCCCAAGAGCATGGCTGACCCCAGGAATGTGGCTGACCCCAAGCGTGGCTGACCCCGAGCGTGGCTGACCCTGGGAACGTGGCTGACCCGGAGTGTGGCTGACCCTGGAGTGTGGCTGTCCCTGAACGTGGCTGACCCTGAGAGTGTAGCTGACCCCGGGAACGTGGCTGATCCAGACTGTGGCTGACCCCAAGCGTGGCTGACCCCGGGAACGTGGCTGACCCGGGAGCGTGGCTGACCTGGGGAGCGTGGCCGACCCCGGAGCGTGGCTGACCCGGGGAGTGTGGCTGACCACGGAGTGTGGCTGACCATGGAGTGTGGCCGACACCGGAGCATGGCTGACCCGAGAGCATGGCTGACCCCAGGAACGTGGCTGACCCCGGGAACGTGGCTGACCTGGAGCGTGGCTGACCCCGAGAGCATGGCTGACCCCAGAGCGTGGCAGGAGCAGGAGGAGGACCATGTGCAATTCCCTTGCAGGAACAGCTGAGCCACCCGGTCTGGGTGGAGGAGCAGAGTGGAGGCCTCGGGGGCTGTTGCCAGGAAGGCAGGGGCTTGTGGGCACTGGAATGTTCTGGATCTTGGTCTGGGTGGTGGTTACAGGGGTGTAGACATTTGAATGATTCATCAAGGTGTATACATAACATTTTTCTCCTTCATACCAGTTATATGAGTTTTAAGAGGTTGAAAGGGAGAGGATGGAACTCCCCCCCAACACAACTCCTAAAAATGGTGCCATCTATAGTTGACTCACGTTTTTTGGTGCTTGTTGTCTGGGTGGTCATCTCAGAAACGGTCAGTGAATAAGTAAGGGTGGATTCACTTTCTAAACCCTGAGAGGCGTCACCTACCTGCTGGCAGCCCACGGAGCCTGTTACAGAACCCGGCGTGCCTCCCAACCTCTCCCCGCCTCCGCAGGGCTATGCTGCTGAGCTGGATAACCCGCTCATGGCGCACCTCGTGTCACCAGGCCTCCAAAACAAGAAGGACATTCTCTTCGGAAACATGGAAGAGATTTACCACTTTCATAACAGGTTAGGCCCTCCTCTGACCGCACCTGTCCGGTGGGGTCTGCCTCTGAGACAGCGGCCTGCAGGGAGCCAGACCACATGCGGGCCCTGGGCTGTGGTCTGCGGGTGGAGAGCATCCTTCCTCCTCTCAGGGGACAGGCTCTCAGGGGCTGCTGTGGGGCAGTGGGCTCAGGGGGGAGGTGCCGGCCAGGCCGTTACAGGTGTGCTGGGAAGTACCTGGGCTTTGAGGACGTAGGAGCGCCCCCCACGCCTGCCAGGCCAGCAGCGACCAGTCCCGCTCAGTGTGTGTGTTTGGCCCTTTGGGGTGGCACCAAAGCCACACCACTCAGCAAGGCCCGTTTTGTCCCCAAGCTCGTCCTTGCAAAGGAGGCAGCTGCAGACGTCCCTGTCCTGCCTCTTCTCCCCCCGCGAGCACCGTCTGTGGTCGCCGTGGCTTTGGGGCAAGTACGAACGATGCTCCCGTGGCCGTCCCCCCACCCTTGGCTCCTCGCTGCAGTTTGCGGGAGCTCGTGGGCAAGGACGTGAGGGGGTGGACGCAAGATGCATGGGCGGCAGTCAGACAGACAGCACAGGCCTGTGCGTCCTGAGAAAGCCTCCCCTGGGCTTGTGGGGGCGCTTGGGACTCCTTTCAGCCTGGGTCACCCACTTGCCTACGGAGGAGGCACCAGCGCGCCGCTGGACCCCCCGGACCGCTCCCTTCCCACGGAGGGGGCACAGGTCAGGTAGCCTGGTCCCTCAGTGTCCTCAGCTTGGGCCAGGCCTCAGTGCTTGTGAACTGACCCCAGGGAGCTCTCCCTCGAGGCAGGATTGACCCCTGCGGAGCTCGATGGGTCTGGGCGGGTCTCTCACAGCTGCACCAGCTTCTGTCTGCCTCCTCGTCCCCGTCCGGCGTGCAGAAAGCAGCAGTCCTAACTTCTGTGTGAACGCCAACACCAGCCACCTGAAGGGACCCACGAAGGGGCCAGGTCTGCTTAAACCCGAGTTTGCTGCAGCCGGGCCCCCAGGAGAGCCCGGCCTGCGCTGCAGGGCCCCGCTCACAGTCTCCTGACTGTCCAGAGTCAGAAATAAACGTGACCTGGGAAATAACATCTGTTCATCTGTGACCGGCGTCTCCTCCGGGTTGCTCTTCACGTGACCTCAGGCGCACTTTCTCTGTCTAGAATATTCCTGAGGGAGCTGGAAGACTACGCAGGCTGCCCAGAGCTGGTTGGAAGGTGTTTCCTGGAACGGGTATGTGTTTTTTCAATGTGCACCTTGCCGTGCCTACCTTGTTAAAATTACTGCATGAAACAATCATGACTTTAAACCCTATCACAGTCTCCTTCTAGCCCACTGAAATCACGAAGGGCAGGTGTTCCCGGTCTGCCTGAGGTAGGGCTTTATCTAAAGCCCAGTAGCTGGTTCAGAAGCGCCAGACTTAGAAAGCGTCTGTCTCGACAGCACACGGCAGACTTTGTGCAGCTGAACTTAGCTGACCTTCCTCGAGCTGGTGCCTGTGTCTGGTCTTGGCGCGGCCACCAGCCCTCCCGCATGAGCGGGCCTGGGACGGGTCGCCTTCCTTTTCTCGTCTTTGACCCGGCCGACGTCCAGCTCCTTCCGGGCTGGGAGAAGCGGTGGGAGCAGGACAGGGTGTTGCTCTCAGGCCCGTCCGGATACACTGTGAGCTGGGTGACATGGACAGTGTAGCTGAGCTCAAGCCATTTTCACGATACGATAATGTAGAGGTCGAGACACGTCAGCGTGAACTGGGGTCGAGAGGCAGAAGGAAGGAGGAGGACCTGTATTTCTGCTCTGACTCGGTCTGGTCGCTGTTGACCTCCTCGGCGCTGTTTGAGAGTGGAGGGGGGGTCCTGCTGGAGGTCCGTGGTTCTCAAAGTGGGTGCCCTGGCCAGCAGCATCAGCATCCTGGGATCTTACTGGAAATGCAGGTTCTCAGGTCCCACCCCACATCTGCCGACTCAGAACCTCCAGGGGGTTCTGTGTTAACAAACCCCCGGGCAGCTCCGTGCACACGCACGTTTGAGCACCAAGCTCTGCAGGCTCTTTCGTTAGAAGGTCAGCCACTGTTTTTAGTCTGTTGTTCTCACGGCAAAAAGCCAGCTGTGTGGTGCTAGTCTGTGTGAAGGAGGGACTAACGCAGCTCTGAAGCGAACCCTGGTGGGCTTGCGATGCGGCATGGGAGGTGGAGGTGGAGGCGGGGATGGGTGCGCCCTGTGACGTGCTCTGTCCCCGGGTCAGATGGAGGAGTTCCAGGTCTACGAGAAGTATTGTCAGAACAAGCCGCGCTCCGAGAGCCTGTGGAGACAGTGTTCCGACTGCCCATTCTTTCAGGTGAGTTTGGGGGAGCCCCCCGTGAGCGCGCGGCCTCCCCTGCTGCCGCCCTCACACACAGGGACGGAGACGGTCCCAACGGGCGGGCTCTGGGTTTGCAGGAATGTCAGAGGAAGCTGGACCACAAGCTGAGTCTGGACTCCTACCTGCTGAAACCGGTCCAGAGAATCACCAAGTACCAACTGCTGCTCAAGGTGAGCTGCCTGCCCCCACCACGGCCTCGCAGCCCCCCACCTGCAGCTGCCCCGGCCACCCCGGAGCGCCGCGGTCCCAGCCCCTCTGCGAGGGCCCTGACTCTTCACAGACCTTTGTGGAGCACCTACTGTGTGCTGGCCATTGTTGGGGGGCTGTGGACACAGGGGCAAACAGTTGGGCAGACCTGCCCCGCGGAGCACGTGCTCCAGGCGTCTCCACGCACACACCCCAGGCCGTGCGCCCACACGCGGTCCTCCCTGCAAGGCTGCCTGTGTCCAGCTTCCTTTTCGGGCCAGAGTGAACGAGCCAGTGGACCCGCAGATGCCTTTAGCCATCACGGGTTTGGGGGTGTCAGGTTCGAAAGGAAAGAATAACAGGTCTAGGAGTGGGAAGACGTGAGCTGCAGAAGGGGCGCCTGCCCTGGGGAGGCCTGGCCGAGCGTCTGGCTCAGGGGATGTCCCTGTCTGCAGCACCAGGCAGGACCGTTGGGACAGGCAGGCTGTGGGGGGTGGCATCCTGGACCTCCCTGGCCACGTAGGGAGCCACGCTATGTGTCCCGAGGGTCCACGCAGGTGCCCAGGGCCGGAGCGGGGAGTCCCGTGTCCCACGGATGTGTGAAGGCATCTTCGTCCCCCAGGAGATGCTAAAATACAGCAAGAGCTGCGAGGGGGCCGAGGACCTGCAGGAGGCACTGAGCTCCATCCTGGGCATCCTCAAGGCTGTGAACGACTCCATGCACCTGATCGCCATCACCGGCTACGACGTAAGGGCTTCCCCCTCCCGCCGACGAGCCTGGTGACGGTCCTCCTGCCATCCGTGCAGAGCTGTGCAGGGAGCATCCATGTGCGTGCGTGTCCCTGCAATCTGGCAGGAACCCAGTTCCGACTGGCGTCTGGGGCGGGCCCAGGGCAAACGGACCTCCAGCTCGGGGCGTGCCCCCGACTGCAGGGAGCCTTCACCCCTCCGAGTGGCCCATCAGTGCAGGAGCCCTGAGGGCGGCGGTGCTCAGAGCCGATCTGTGTTCGCTGCAGCTTGTGGGTTGGGGACAGGGGACAAGCGAGCGTGAAGGTCAGACTCTGCTTTTTCCTCCTGTGCCCGAATTAGATCAGTTTTGTTGCTTCTCTGTAAGTCAATTTGCGCCCGCCCTGTTCTTCTGAATTTAACAGGCTTTATTTTTAGAGCAGTGTTAGGTTTGCAGAAGGATAAGGGAAGGCACGAGGACCTCCCCCATGCCCCTGCGCCCCCATGCACAGCCCCCCCCGTTCCCCACACCCAGCAGGTGGGACCTTTGTCACAGGGATGAGCCTCCGCTGGTTCATCATCTCTACCCAGAGTCCAGGATGTGCCTCCCATGGGTTTGGACAGACGTGGAACACCCTGTGTCCACCAGGACGGTGTCAGACAGAGTTTCACTGCTCGAAAGCCCCCGTGCTCCACCCGTTCACCCTCCCCCAGCCCCTGGCCACCCCCGACCCCTCACCTGTCTCCACAGTTCTGCCTTTTCCCAAGCGTTACGGAGCGGGGGTCCTACAGGACGCAGCCCTCCAAGGGGGGCTGCTTTCCTCGGCAACGTGCGTATAAGTCCCCACGTTCATTCTGGGCTTAGGGGAACCTGAGTGACCTGGGGAAGCTGCTGATGCAGGGCTCCTTCAGCGTCTGGACGGACCACAAGAAGGGCCACACCAAGGTGAAGGACCTGGCCAGGTTCAAGCCCATGCAGCGACACCTCTTCCTACATGAGAAGGCTGTGCTCTTCTGCAAGAAGAGGGAGGAGAACGGGGAGGGATACGAGAAGGCCCCTTCCTACAGCTACAAGCAGTCCCTGAACGTGAGTGAGGCTTCCTGCCTACAGCCACTGGCCCTGCGGAGGGGAGGCTTCCTCCCTACAGCCGCTGGCCCTGCGGAGGGGAGAGGGCCAGCGGTCAAGGTCCTAGCAGCCGCGACCACACCGCCCGGCTTCTGGCGCAGGCCACTCGTGTCTTTGGGTGCGGGAGTCCGGGCCCCCTGACGGCCTCAGCCCCCACCCCAAAACCACCTCCAGCATCTGAAGGATGCTCCGACCCCTTTCAAAGGCGGGAGGGTGGCGTGCTCTCATGTCACACATAACGAACGTCTGTCTCCCTGCTTTGCGTGGTCAGATGGCGGCCGTCGGCATAACAGAGAACGTGAAGGGCGACGTGAGGAAGTTTGAGATCTGGTACAACGCCAGGGAGGAGGTGTACATCATACAGGTGGGGCCCCCGCGTTCTCCCGGGCCAGGCGTCAGGGACTTGTCGGGCCTCTCCGGCGAGGGCAGGCGTCGGGAAGCTTCCGTGGAGCCTTATCTCCCAGAGGCCTTGTAGGGGGGCTGCCCTGAGCTGGACCCAGGAGGAAGTATGGGGAACCCACAGTTAGGGTGCACAAAGGGAACACGGGCTCGTGTGTTACACACGTGACCAGGCTGTCCTGGCCCTCACGGCCGCGCTGGTGAGGGCAGGAGGTGGGAGGACTGCGAGTGCGCCCTGAGCCCACGTGAGCCGTCCCTGGGGCCTGTGATCGGGTCGGCCAGCGCTCAGGGCAGGCCTCTTCGGGTTGCCCTCCATGTTCAGACACGGGGGCAGCCCCGGGGGATGCGGTGGCCGCGGCACCCTGTCCCGGCGTGCCCACCAGCACGGCAGCCCCGCAGAGATGGTGCCCGGCTCCAGCTCGGGCACCAGCCCCCAGGAGCTGTGGGGACGGCGGCCGGCACTCTGGCTTTCCGCCGGCCCCGCCTCCAGAGCCCAGCTGTCACCGCCCTCTGGCCGCACGTGCGGTACCGAGGCAGGACAGCGGCTCGCGCCGCTCGCGCCCTGGGAGCTTCTCCCGTCTTCCTCGTCATAAAACGATGCCACGGACCACTTCCCGGAGAGACGTGCTCCCAAAGGGCGGTTTGTGCCCCAGGTTTCCACTGAGTCTGACGCCAGCGAGGGTGTGGTGGGGGAGGCCGGGCGGTCAGCCCGCCGCCCGTGTGGCCCACAGGCCCTCCCTCTGTGCCCATGGTGCAGTCCCGAGGCAAGGGGACCGTCCATCGCCTCCTTTCTCCCGGGCAGTGCTCCCATGGTCCGTTCCCAAGTGGTCCGCGGAAGCTTCAGGAGTAAAAGGAAAAGCAGTGTCTTTAGGGAACGTGCGTTCTCACCTCCTGGCATTCCTTCCCGGCCTCAGGCACCGAGCCCTGAAATCAAAGCTGCGTGGGTGAGTGAGATCCGAAAGGTGCTGACCAGCCAGCTGCAAGCCTGCCGAGGTAAGAGCCGCTGCGGCCACGAGCTGCTCTTGGCTTTGGCTCCAGGTGCATTTTTGCGCACGTCCAGAGCGCCCCCCAAATTCTGAGCTCTCGGCGGTGCTGCAGGGTGAGGGGTAAATTTGGTGAGTGGGGCTGTTCCCTCCCTGCAGAAGCCAGCCAGCACAGAGCGCTCGAGCAGTCCCAGAGCCTGCCTCTGCCCGCGCCGCCCAGCACCAGGTGAGCGCCTCCAGCCGGGGACAGGCGCGGGTCTGCACGCGTCCACGCGGCCGGTGACCCGCCTCTCCTTACTGGGGTCTGGGTCACCCCAGGTGTGCCGGCAGGGCCCGGGAGCGCCCCCTGGCGTTGCGTGCGGGGGGTCCGTCCCCGCGGGCCAGCTTCGGGGACGGGGTCTCTGGCCCCACCCTGGGCAGAGGCCAGCTCTTAACCGTCTCTGATTTCCGTCTGTGAGTCATTTCCTGTTAAGTCAGCACAGGACGCGCGGCTGGCGCGCGTGACAGCCGCCATGTTTCCGCGACGGTGGCGCCTCGGACAGGGACAGGGGCCGTGGGGGCCGAGGTGCAGAGCCCAACACGCCGGCCTCATCCTCCCCTGGCTTCGTCGTGCCTTCTCTGCCCTCAGCTTTCCCGTTACTGTACGCGTTCACGCGGCCTTGTGACTATTTCTCCTGTTTCTGCTGTGAGCCACCTCTGACCCTCGGTGGGACAGGCTATGGTCCAGGGAAATGATCCGCAGAACAACACTTTGAAAAGAGAAAGACCGCCCCCCGAACCCAGAGAAACCCCCACCTCCTATTCGCACCCAGCATGTGGGGTTTGTTCTCGTGTGGTTCTGCCCCCGGGAACCCGGAAGGGCTTGAAGGACCCGGTGGGGCCCCAGGGACGGCGCAGCCTCGGATCCTCAGGGAGGACTTGAAACACTAACCCGCAACGTTCTACTTCTCCTTCTTTTTCCGGGGTGTGTGACGTCATTAGTCCCTCGAAAGGGAGCACGAGGAACATCAAGAAGTTGGAAGAAAGGAAAACTGACCCCCTGAGCCTGGAAGGATACGTGAGCCCCACGTCGTTGCCGAAGCCCCCCGAGAAGGGCAGAGGTGGGTGTCTGCGCCGGGAGCTGCGTCACGGTGTCTGTGAGCAGGCGTGTCCGGGACCTCCCAGAGACGCGCCCTTCCTGGCGGCCGGGGTGCCCGGAGGAGAGCCCGCGTGACCGGACGTGTGCCCCGAGCGCCCCCACACCATCCCTCTCTCTTCCTTTGTAGATGACACGGTCACTAGCTCTACCTCAGAAAGCTCCGCGCTTTCCAGAAAGCGCTTTACTCTGCAGGGCTTTGCTAACCTCAAAGGTCAGAAAGGTAAAAGGCACCCACCTAAAATCCATGCCGTGGATGTGTCCCTCACCGTGGTGGCCTGTCTGTCATCCATTCGTGTGGTGCTCATCTGTGTGGGCGGCTGCTGCGCGCTCCCCACCGAACCGCGTGTCCTCGTGCTGGTGTGTCTGCGGGACACGCGGCCGGGTTCCCTCGGCGGGGCCTTTGGTTTGACAAGGTGCAAGCTGGCTTTTCCAGCGAAGGCTCGCTCAGAAACCGGAGTGTCATTGCTTTTCTTGGTTTTCTCGGGGCGGCGCCCCCCGCGCCCCCCGCCCCTTTCCTGCTCGGTCCTGTTCGGCCCCCGCAGGTGTCCTGCTCCCCACGGCGCGCCAGCTGGTGTCGCCTGCCCCTGAGGGGCGGTCGTTAGGCACAGGGCGCCTAGAGGGTCCCTCGCACAGACATCTCCGAGAGCTGGGCCGCCTTTCAGTGCTGCTTGGCGGTGAGCCGTGCGGAGGGGCGCTCACGGAGGTAGCTCAGGGAGCAAGCACTGGACTCCCTGCCTGAAACTAAAAGCCAGTTTTCACTGGTCCAGAAAACTGGAGGGTTTTGGTTTCAATTTTGTTTCAATTTGTAAAGTAGTGTTAAGCTGGCCTCAAACTTCCAAAAAAAAAAAAAAAAGGACACGTCCTGGAGCTCTACAGTTGGCTAATGAGCACGGCAAGTGTGCGTCCCACGCGTCCTTCTGTGCAGAGTTAACGCGCCTCCACGTGGCCCCTAGGACGCGGGCACCGCCTCCCCTCCTGCTCTCCGGGGCCTCTCCTGTCCCCCGCGCGAGGGACGTCCGCTAGCTTCGTTCTGCTCACAGGCAGCTACTCTGCACAGTGACAATGAGCCCGCTGGGGGTCTGTGTCCCCTCCCAGCGTGAACACTGCTCCTCTCGCCTCCCCCTGCACCCTGCACGCAGGTCCTCACGTATTTTTGCCTCTTCCTCCTTCTGCAGCTTCTCCTACCAGCCCTGACAAAAAAGCTAAGCGACACGAAGTAAAGAGCGACCCAACGCCTTTTGGTTTACGAGGTAGAGTGGCTCCACCTTCTGAACGTAGCCGGACCTCCGTTTACCCATCTGGTTAGGGACACTGTCTTGCCCTTCGTCGCCACTGAAACACAAAACAAAATAGGTCTCTCCCAGCCAGGGGCAGATTCACTGTTGTCTCCAAAAGCATGATGCTCTGGCGACATACCGTGATGACGGACCCGTCTCAGCTGGACTCGCGCCGGCTCTGCCCAGAACCTGCAGAAGCACCGGGGCCACCCGTTAGAGGCTGCTGGTGCCTGGCCAGCACGTGGGCTGGGGTGGGCTGTCACGGCAGCCGTGGCAGGCTGTGGGGCACCCCGTCCTCGGGCCCCTGCAGCACCAGCCTCGCCCCGGCGGCGCCGGTTGTCCCGAAGCTTCTTGTTGGAAGCACAGAAGGTAGCCACCAATGGGGTCCTGCCGACCCCCCATTTCATGGGAGGATGACGGGCTGTACAGACAGGTGGGGCCAAGCTCTGTACTGGACCTCAGGCCTTCTACCTTCTGCCCCTCATATCACGAGGGCAAAGCATGTCCCCCCCAAAATCCAAAGACCCCCCCCGGCCAAGGCTGAGGGTCTTAGGTTTGCAGGGAGGGATTCACTTTGAATCCTCTTGAGTTTTCCAGTAATTGTGAAGGTTCCCAAGGGGTGCAGTTGACCTCACACCCCCCAACCCCAGGACCATCCAGAGGTCACCCAGCACACTCGGCCTTGAGCACAGGTCTGTGTGCCCGGGACCCAGACGGCAGCTCTCCGCCTGCCCCCGCGTGACCAGCTCGGAGGCCAGGGGCTTCCCACAGCCTTCATGTGGGTGGACAGCATCCAGGGGCTGCCGCTGAGGTCCCAGGGCCTGGGACAGGGGTCACTTCTCCATTGACAGCCTTGTTTTCTACTTAAGACCTGGAGACGTCTGAGCGTTGCCCTGGCTGACGTCCCTCGTGCAGGAAGCTGGTGAAGGGGCCTGAGCCCCGCTGTGGCCACTTGCCCGCGGTTCCTACCGCCTTTCAGCCAAGTTGTGTGTCCTCGCCTGTGATAGGAAAATGAGGCGGCTTCGCAGGTCACCATAGACGGGACCTGAGCGTGGCACCTGGGGCCCCACCGCCAGTCCCCCCGCCCTCCAACTCCTCTGCTCCCCGTTGCCCGCTCTGTGGCTGACCACATCGAGCCACCAGCCTCCTGGGCCCTCTCACAAACGCTTACATGCTTGCCCCCCGAGAAGCTTCATCTGCCCATCGTTTTACTCAATGTCAATATCAGGGACGATTTTGCAGAGAATAGAGGGGACCACGTTCACGGTCGTGTTGGCGTCATGTCCTACAAACTCACCAGCATCTGCGTAGATTGAGGGGTGCCGTCCGGTTCCAAACACGTGTCTCCTCATCCCCCAGTTGGTACCTCACGTGCATTGGGCCTCGGTACCTTCCTAACGCCCTTGTTTGAATGTGGTTTTAACGCGGGCAGCTGCTTGAGCCTGGTAGAGAGGCTTTCCCCGAGGCCCCGGGGCAGAGAGGGGAGCACCACAGGCCCACGTCTGCCTCTGTGTGGCCGGGAGCCCCGTGTGTGGTGGTGGGCTGCAACAGGAGACCCTCCAGCCAGGCCGCCTGGCACTGGGGCCCCAAGGCCCCCCCATCTGCCTTTGGCATGCTGTGCACACCCCCAGACGAGTGAGGGGGCTAGGCTGGGTGGTTTGCAGTGGGAAACCCCAGTGCCCCATCCCTGCACAGACACCAGCCCCCCGCCACTCGCCCCGCGGCCCAGCCCTGAGAAGGCCGGGTTCAGGGGCTCTCTGATGCTGGGCCTGCTGGTGTGGAGTGGGGTCCTGGGGCTCCAGAGGCCTCTGTGGCTCTCACACTCTTCTTTCCGGGCTCAGCACTGCTGGCTGATGGGGAGCTCTAGGCCCCAGCTCCCTTCCTATGAAGATGAGACTCCTAGTGTCCCTTTAGCACAAGCGTTTCATGGCCAACTTGAAACACCACAGGCCTCGGGGACGGGCCTGTCCGGCAGCTTGCCTCACAGAGGGGAGCGAGCCCTTCGTCCTCGGGGAAAGCACACTTGCCCAGGCCACATGGGATCTGGAACTGGCATGCCAAGCCCACAGCCAGCGCGCGGTCTTCCCACCGACCCCAGGCTGTGCCCATGGTCCTCATGCCACAGGAGTGGACTCCCGCCTCTCACGTTACTGTTGGCGTTTATGGTGTTCAGAGTCGGGAATCCGTCGCCCCCCATCTCCCCTCGCTTGCGTTCTTCCCAAAATTTCCTGCAAATGGGAAATACAGATGTTATTCTTTGGGGCTGCAGGGCAGGGGGAACACTGATGAGGGGACATGAGCACATTTCATAAAGTCCCCACAAGTTCTCTCCCCACACGTGCTGGCCCAGCCGCACTCTGTGGCCCCAGAAGTGCAGAGGCGTGGCTCGGGTCTGTGTGCGGCGTCTGCTGGTCTGTGCCGTGAGGGTCGCGGTGCCCCGACCTCATGGGCCAGGACGGTGCCGGCACGGGGCACGTGCCGCTCGCCTCAGCTGCTGCTGTGAGCAGTGCTCCTCCAGGCGGCATGATGCGTGTGCGAGCTCCAGGCGCTAATTGCAAACCCCTTCCCTCTGGTGGTGTTTGCTCCAACACGGATGGGTAGTGGCGTCTCCGACTGGTGACATTCAGGGCTCTGTGCTCCCCGGGTCTGCAGGGCATCGCTGCAGAGCCTGCGGGATCACCTCCCTGAGGGCTGGCTTCGCTGCCTCCCCTAGGCTGGGCTGGCGACGCTCGCCGGTGCTCGGGGCCTCCCCGGACGGTGCACAGTGGGGACATGTGTGTCAGCAGGCGTTCTGGAAGTCCGCCGTGTGTCCCGCTCCGGGGGGCAGGCCCCTCCGGGCGCACGTTGCAGGGTGGCGGGAATTGTGCGGACCACCTTCAGACAGGCTTGCGGTTGAGGGTGGTCCTCACTGGAGTCTGTTCTCTCTCAGGCTGGAGCAAAACGTCTCAGCCCTTGGAGGCCCCTGAGGACAACGACGGCTGGTCCAGTGCCGAAGAGCTGATTAATTCCTCAGACGCAGAGGAGGAAGGCAGAGTGGGCCCCAGGAAGCTGGTAACCTTGGGTCCCCCGGGGCGGTCAGCCCGGCACCGCGGGCTCCTGGGTGGGAGAGCTCCAGAGTGCGACCGTGGTGGTGCCCACCCTCCTCCACCGTCAGGCTCCCAGCAGACAGGCTCTCTCGCACACACCTGATCTGCCCTCCAGACAAGGAGGATGCCCTTAGGACCATCCGCAAAGCTGTGTGTACGGCTCTCCCTCACTTTTTGGAGAACTCAACTGTTCGAACGCGGATTTGGGGTCTAAACAGGCCCTTTTTTTTTTTTAAGATTTTATTTATTTGCGAGAGAGAGAATGAGAAACAGAGAGCATGAGAGGGGGGAGGGTCAGAGGGAGAAGCAGACTCCCTGCCGAGCAGGGAGCCCGATGCGGCACTCGATCCCGGGACTCCAGGATCATGACCTGAGCCGAAGGCAGTTGCTCAACCAACTGAGCCACCCAGGCGCCCAACAGGCCCTTTCTTTAACACAAGCTGCAAGGAGAAGCCATTTACGCATGAGCCATCAGAGTTGGCGCTGTCCTGGTCCAAGCTCCAGGGCTCCACACGGCAGCGCTTCGTCCGTGTGAACGTGCTCAGCAGACACTGGGTGTCAGGCAGTCTAGACACCAAACAGAGCAGAGAGCAAAAGACGCAGTCTCCACTCTCACAGGGAAACAAAGTGAAAGGTGGTCAGATACAGGCGGGCGTGTTAGGTGAGGATGGGAGCCAAGGAAGGGGAGGTCGTGCCATGAGGAGGGAACGGCAGGTGCCGAGGTCCTGGGGCGGAGGGCTGTGTTTGAGGCCGGACCACCAGCCGTGAGCCAGGGCACCATACCGGTTGGTTGGGTTTTTAACACGGTGGCAGTGAGAGACTTGGCATCTCCTTACGACCAGGAGCTCTTCCCATTTAAGGTGGCAGTCCCATCAAAAGCCCCACAAACAGCAGGGCCCCGACGAAATGCTCGTTGTCCTTCTGTTGCTGGACGCCCCCCTGGGAGCTTGGCTGCGGCGGACGGCCGCTGCGGCCTCGCTCGGCGTGGGGGCCGCCGACTGTCCCCTTTGATGCGCCGCCTCCTCCGCCACCAGGTCCCGGGAAAGTACACGGTTGTGACGGGCGACGAGAAGGAAAGCCCCGACGCGCTTGCCGTGAGAAGTGGGGACGTGGTGGAGGTGGTCCACGAGGGCGACGAGGGCCTTTGGTAAGATGCCTGCAGTGGGCTCAGGCCCAGGACGCCCGGGGCGGGCGGGGGGCACATGGCTGGAGCCCTGACGGCCCACGCCCCTTTCAGGTACGTCAGGAACCTGACCTCCAGCAAGGAGAGCTGGGTGCCGGCCAGCAGTCTGTCCACGCTCCTCAGCACGTCCGGCTCGGCTCAGTGCCTGAGCAGCTCAGGTAAGACCCCCGGCCCACGCGGGCCGTGCCCCGAGCCCGCGGGTTTCCACAGCCGTGAGCTTGAGCGTGCAGACACGCAGCCGCAGCCGTTCTTGCCTGGTTTTCCCGCAGAGTCCAGTGCGGGGTCTGCCCTGCTGAGCACCTCCTCCAGCTGCAGCGAGAGCTGTGGGGCCCCCCTCTCAGACCTCCAGGGGTAGCGCCGGGCCCCGCAGGAGGCCGTGCGGCCTGCGAGCCTCTAAGTTTTCCTTTGCTTGGGCTTGCTTAGTTTGGTGAGGGGACGGTGCTCTAAGAGCCTGGGGAAGGAGGACCCGGACAAGACCCCAACGAGGAGCCGCCTGCCGCCCACGGAACCTCAAGGTGCAGACGCAGGGGCCCGCAGAGGGAAGGTTCTGGAAGATTCTGCCCTGCGGCCTCCACGCCAGGACCACCCCCGATGAGGGTGCAGAAGCCAGTTGCACGAAGACCGAGGTACACTGAGCTTTCCGGGAAAACCAGGATGGACCGAGGGCACCAGGCCGCCGCGAGGAGCCCGTCCCAGCTGCTCTGCGTGGTTCCGGGCATTTCTGGTCTGGTGCTTCCTGCAGGAATAGGCATGTCGTGGGAGTGACGAGTCCACTGACCCAGCAGCTTGGTGGGGGGACTGTTTTGTCTTTTACAAGTTTTTTTTAAAGCAGGGATTAATTCCATGGCCATTTTTTGTGGTACTCTGGCCGCTAATCTTTACCAAGAATCACTGTGTTTACATGAAATGACAATTTGATACTGTATTTGATACAAAACTATTTTCTGTTACTGGGGTTTACATGACAGCACGTTGTTTATACTGCTGGGAGATTTGGGGGCTCTCGTGGGGACGGAAGCCCTCGCCAAGGCCCGCCTGGCCACAGGCGGGTGAACACACGTCCCCCGATAAAATCCAGCAGCGTTTCTACAAACAGAGGCAGTGGAAACCAAGGAGAGTCCCTTATCTGTGTAGGTTAATTTTCAAAAGAAAATTTAAACTATAATTTAAAATATTTAGCTTCTTTTCTACAAAAAAAAATGGAACTTGATTTTTTTACCTAGCTTCACTGAATTAGGATTTTTTATTGTTTTTAAAGAATAAGTAAAGATGCGGTTTTTGTGGGGTACCCTCTGAGCGAGCGCTACCCACGCGGGCTGGGTGGAAGCGCCAGCCTCCGGCGGCCCCCGCCGCCACCTCCCGCACTCGGTAAACCCCCCGAGCTCGGAAACACAAGGAGTTCATTACTGAAACCGAGGCAGAACCAGAAAGAAAACTCTGGTGTTTTACCTTTTTGTGTTTCGGAAACAAATTCTGTTCTTTGGAAACACCGTCTGTATCTGGTGGGGGCAGATATTTTTGTTCGTGTGCATATGTGGGTGTGTGTACGTAGGTGTCCCGTGTCAGGGACGCACCACGGCCCCCGCGATGCTGGAAACTGTCACTTCACAGCCCTCCCTGTGCCCCGCGCCCGCCGCGCCCACCGCCCACGAGGCCCCCACTGGCCCACCTCTGCAGTGCGTCCCAGCAGCTTTCCTCGGTGTCTGGTCGTGAGACCATGACGCGTCCGACAGTTTACTCCGCACGCTGCTCGTCCAGATCCACCCCTGCCGCCTCAGCCACGTCACCACCGCTGGGGGCCCATCTTCGTTAAGGCACTTTAAAACCTCCCGTCCTGTCACTGCTTCTTGTTTCGTTTCAGGTCTTTTTTTTTTTTTTCTGCTGATGTAAATGAAATTTAAAAATCAGAGTTCTTTATTGTGTGGATGGAGTTTGAATAAATATCAGCCCCTCTCGCTGTCTGCACAGAATTCCTCAGGCGCCGTGTTTATCGTGCTCACGTACGTCCACCCAGCACCCCGAGCTCCCATGAGAAATGAGGCAGGCACTGAGCTTGACCCAGACGATGTCCCATACGCTTCATTTTGTCAGAAGATGATGGAAATAGAATAACACGCATATTGTGTCCACAGTGTAAAGATAACAAAAGAAATGGTGAAATCGCTATGTTGGAACAAGAGTCCAAGAGATGGCTTCTGAGCCAGGAGGGTCCGGGGGCAGAAGGGACAGTGGTGGGGAGGGAGGCGTGACCCACGGAAGCAAGGAGTCACGGAGGCCGGTCGGAGCTGCGCTCACCCACAGCCCAGAATCTTGCTAAGCCGACCGGTCGGGAGGGGATCAAACCAGATGCAACAGATAATTGCTAAAAGACACCGCACAACCAAATCGCACAAGGGCTGGAAGTAAAGACCGGAACAGAGATGTAGCAAATACTGACCTCCCGGGAGCCCTCTGTGGACCCGCGGCCTGGGCCCCAGGCTCAGACCCAACCCTGCGCTGTTGTTGGGGCCTGCCTCGCTCAGTGGACCGTGTGGCCGTGGTGTAGGGTCCGGGTGGGGGGCTCCTGCTCCCTGAGCCCAGCTCTCTGACGCCAGCGAGCCCTGGGGCTGCCCCACTCCGCTTCTGCTCACCGACCGGGGCCTGGGGTAGGACTGCTCCCTGCCTGCGCTTGGCTGTCCTTCATGGGCAGAAGGCCACATCCCCCACTGGCCTGTGCTGTCCCCCACCTCCCCGGAGGACCCACGCCACCCCTGGACTCAAGGGCTCAGTCCAGCGCGTGTCCCAAACCCACACGGACCTCTGCTGCCCAGCAGGTGCTGCCCACAAAATCCTGTTCCCCGCAGCTTTGGGCAGTCAGAGAAGGAACGTCCCTTTCCTGCACCTCCCGGCCAGTCGCCCCGAGTCTGCAACCAGACGCCACTGCTCTGAGAACAGCCTCAGCTCCAGTCCGCTCAAGAGGAGCATGGACACGGGCTGAGAGCCTTCCCTATGTTTGCATCGCCCAGAAGCCCGGAACGCAGCCTCGCCCGGCAGCAGAAGCCTTGCTGCTGTGGCTGGTTAGATGAGTGAGCCTGAGTAGGAGCCCCGACCCAAGGACGGATGGTGTCTCTGTAAGGAGACGGGCACGGACACCCAGTGGCGAGGCCATGTGCCAGCCGAGGCCGGGATGGGAGTGCGGTGTCTGCAGGTGCCCCGAACGAGGAGCCGCCTGCCGCCCACGGAACTTCGAGGTGCAGACGCAGGGGCCAGCGGGAAGGGGCAGGCAGGTCCCCTCCTCGAGCCTCCGGAGAGAGCAAGGCCCTGCCACAGACACTTGGCTCCAGGACCTGTGGCCTTCAGAACTGGCAGAGGACAGATTCCTGGTGCTGTAGTCACAGTGGCCGCAGCGGAGGGGCCCCCCCGGGGGCTTCAGGGTTCCCATGTCAGTCCGGTTGGGGTAACTGACAGTGCCGGGGGCTCAGGACGGTCCTGGTCGGGACAGGAAGCCTGGCATCCTGAGAAAGCCCTCCATGCCCGCCAACCCTGGACGGAGGGTCACCCCAGCTGGCGGCCTGGGCCCGGGATGGCAGGCGCCCCTCCTCCTGGTCATCCCCACGAGGCTCTCTGGTCACCCAGGAAGCCGGGCCCCCGGGCTAGGTGTCCGCGGCAGCCCTCTTGAGAGTACTCACGTCCATAGCCCAGATCCTCTCTCTCCCCGGAGTTACTACCGTGGAGCGGCTTTCCACCCACGTCCATTCTGAGGCCAGCTGCCGCGCTAAGTCCCGGGGGCCTCAGGGTTCCCAACGGCACTTGAGGTGCACGCGGCCGATGCAGATCCCAACACCGCCGTCTCCTCGCAGGCGCCCCCGCTCCGCAGACACAGCTGTGCTGGAGGGACCGGGGGCTTCCCGGCAGGGGCCTCGCGCCGCCCCGCCCCCTGGGTTTGGGAGGCGAGTCCTCCCTCCCCCACCCCTCTGCCCTGCGTGGAGGCCAGGACTTTGCCCGCCACCCCCCGCCGGAATGTCATCAGACCGTGCGACACCACCGGTCTCACCATGGTTTCCCGGGCGGGTGAGCTGGCCCTCCTCTGCCTTCTCCTGGGCCTGCAGGGGTCTCCGGCCGCAGGTATGTCAGGGTGGAGGGTCCTGTAAACCCGTGTGAGCGGCCACTGACACCCACACCTCCCACGGCCCACCTCGTGGCGGACACTGCCGTGGCCGGCGGCTCCCATGTGGTCTGCACCCAGGATCCCGGCTCAGGGGTGCGGGCTGGGATGCCCCCCTCCCGCTCTGCTCGCCTGGTTCTCAGTCGGCCAGTGCCAGGGACAGGGTAGGGACACGGCTGTGACCGCAGACACCTCCCCGCCACCACGGCGCTGAGGGGCCAAAAGACGGAGATAGAGGGACGTGCTTTATAAGCGGTCCCTTGGAGACTTGCAGGTCCGGCAGGGCGGCCGTGGTCACGACACAGACACTGTCCCACACCAGCAGCTAGCCCGGGACGGGACGGGGCGCCGGCCCGATTCCTGCAGGTGCCCAAAGGACAGCACCTCGGCTCTGGCAAGGGCAAGGCTGCTTTATCCTTCCTCGGGGCAGGAAGACAGTGCTGGCCAGGGTCGTCCCCCACCCCGCCCGGCTTTCACTGATTGCCCACAATTATCAGACTTGCCTCTGGCTCCCGAGGGCTGTCGGGTGCACATTTGCTGCCCTCCGAGGGTAGAGAGGGTAGACGTCCCCACTCTGGGCGCCTCCGGTGGGTGTAAGCACCCCCCAACCCTTGAGTTCTTGGGTTTCCCTCAACCTCTCCTTCCAGACCAGGCGGGCTCCCCAGGAATACACACCCACGAAACGCCGTCATTGTAAAGCAGAGAGGTGGTCCCCTCGGCCTCTCGGCCTGGGAGCTGCCCCTCCCCCTTGCCCCGCCCCCTCCTGCGAAGCCTCCCCACCGGACACAGCCCTTCCTTCCCGGAAGCCGAGTCCGCGGGTCTCCAGGCTGCACTCACCTCTCCTCTGGGACTCAGTTTCCCCCTTGCTCCTGCCCCTCAGTCCTGGCTTTGCTCCCACCCTGCCCATCCCCTCTTGCAGCCCAGCTGCTCTCACACAGCCCACCCCCAATGGTGCAGTCTGCCCCGGGGGCCCCGGGGGCCCCGGGGGCTTTCCCAGCCTCAGCCTCTGTCTCCGTATGGTTGTCACCGACCTCAGTGTCCTCATCTCCGTCACCCTGCCCTCTCTTAGGATGACGTAGTCTGCATGTCTGCCTGGGTGTCCTAAAGAAACCTCAAATCCAAGGTGTTCAAACTGGTCCCATTCCCCACCTGAGTGGCCTTGGGTGAGCTCTAAACCCCACCCACCCTGTTCCTCATAAGCAAAATGGGGGACAGCTACCTGCAAGAAGCTACCGGGGTCACTGTGAGAAGCTGGAAAGAGGCAGCAGGCCAGGGCCTGGAGAGGGGCCCCAAGGACGCACAAGCCCCTGAGCTGGGGTCGTGGGGGCAGGTGCACAGAGCTCAGGGCAGAGCTGGCTGCGAGAGCTCAGATACTCTTGGGAGGGAGCAGAGCCATTCACCAAGGCGGGACGAGGATGGGAAAAGCAGGCCCGGTGGGGCGGAGGTGGGGAGGCCAGGTGCACGGGGTGGCTGTGCATGCAGGTCCCTCAGTTTGCAGGGAGGTGGCCTCTAGAGACCTGGGGCTCGGGGACATATGCAGCTTCTGGTGGTTTGAGGGAGGGCTGAAGTGGAAATGGGGTGCCTGGCTTGGAGCATCTTTAGAACAGAAAACCCAACCCTGAAGGATATCAAAAGTCAAGGGCTGGCAGCAAAGAGTGGAGAGGAGGACCCGGGGAAGAGGACCCAGGAAGGCCCCCGGCGGCCAGACAGGGAGTGTCAGGGGGTCAGCATCAGCAGGCCTCCTGCCACCAAGAAAGGCCCCCGGGGAGCCTGCACTGCTCCGAAGCAGGGGTCCTGGGTGGCTTTGCTTACACTGGACACAGAAGTCAGTGTAAGCATCTTCATGGAAGGCCAGGAACATGCTTTCGAAGAGGGAGAGGCTGGGGGCGCCTGGGTGGCTCAGTCGGTTAAGCGACTGCCTTCGGCTCAGGTCATGAGCCTGGAGTCCCGGGATCGAGTCCCGCATCGGGCCCCCTGCTCGGCAGGGAGTCTGCTTCTCCCTCTGACCCTCCCCCCCTCATGTGCTCTCTCTCTCATTCTCTCTCTCAAATAAATAAATAAAATCTTAAAAAAAAAAAAAAAGGAGGGAGAGGCTGTGGTAAAGCAGAGCGAGGGTCCGGGTTGGCGGGGCGGGGGGACAGGGAGCCCCAGGGACGGGCTGGAGCTCGGGGAGAGCTGGGGAGGATGGCCCGGGTGCGAGAGACCCCTCTTCCCGCCACCGCGCCCGGCAGGCCTCTCCTGGCTCCTCCCGCGTGGCCGCAGCAGCCTCACCTCCAGCGGAGCCGCCCCCCAGTCCCTGGTAGGACCCCCGCTCAGTCATCCCACCACTTGCCACGCCACGTCCCAGCTGCTAGGATGCAGTGGACGCATATTTTCATTATAGAAGTTGATTGTACATGTTTTAAAACAGAATAAATTTTAATCCCCAAAGTTAATTTTTTTATGTACATTCTTTCACTAAGTTGCATCTGCATATATATGTGCATTTTTACATTTTATTAACAGTATGTGTGATTTGATTATCTTATTTCATTTAATATTACGTCTTCTGAAACGTCGCGTTTCATGGCGCGGGGGACGCCGTCACGGACTGGCTCAGATCGTGTGGCCAGGCTCTCCTTCCCGCGAGGTCTGCGTGCCCGCCTCGGAGTCCTTCCGTGGGGTGGCGACCGGGCCAGAAGGGACGAGTGTGTGACGTTAGAAGATAGCGAAGGAAAGTCCCACGCTCGCACACAGAGCTGCCACGCTGCTGTGGCCGGCCAGGAAGCCCTGAGCCCGTGGCTCGGCGGGACACGCCGCGCGGTGGTGTCGGG